TGTTATTTGAATTAGGAGCTATGAAAACAGAATGTAGAATGAAGGTATTACAGGAAAATTTAATATTTATTTTAATTTTAATAAATAATAAGCCCTCTTTGAAATTTGTGATAATTAATTTTTTTAATGAACAAATTAAATGAAGCTTCTTTTTTAAAGAAAAGAAAAATAGTTTTCTTTTATTTGTTCATTTTCAAAAAAATAATAAAAATTAAAGGAAGCTACTTAAAGCTTGAATTGGCGAGCCATCGAGCTTGAGTGTATATAATAATAATAATTAACTACTAATATGAATATATGATATGATAAAATATAATACATACTAATTCGATTTATGAGAAAGGAGGAGACAAATTTTGGATTTCTGAAGAAGGATGAAAAATAAAATAAAATAAAATACACCAAATTAAATAAGCAATTGGGATTGGAAAAATGACCATATTGTAGGCTTTGCCTACAGCCAACAATTCACTCTCATATCTATTCATTGTCATAAATATCAAATCTTAGAAATAACAAAAATAACTTCATATATACAAACATGCATACAAATATACAAAAAAGATAGAAATTTAAGAATCAAACCAGTTCAATGCTCAACTATATGAGACTAAGGCTTCGTTTGGGACAACTTTTTTACTACTTTCTAAAGCAGCTTCTTAATACAAAAATCTCTAGTTTAAAAATATTTTGTACTAAAAAATAGTTTTAGAAAGCAATAAGAACATTGTGCCAAACAAAGTCTAAGACTTCGTTTGGGACGGCTTTCTTATTGTTTTTTAAAACAGTTTTTTAGTACAAAAATTAAATTATTTATACTATAAAACTATTTTAAGAAACATTAAGAAAACAGTCCCCAACAAAGCCTAAAGCTCACAAGCAAATCACTTTCTAAGAACACTATCATCCATGTTCACTCCCTCCTCCACAAAAAAAAAAAAACAAAAAAAAAAAAAAAAAAAAAAAAAAAAAAAACGAAAACAAAAAAGGAGCCTACTTATATAATTTTTTTTGCATACAATTAAAGTTATGGACACTTTACAATTTGAGTTAAGAATTAAGATCACATCATAAGAACACATTTCTAATGACTAAATAATGATCTCCCCCTCTTCTATTTCATCATTTTTGAGGGCTGAAATCTGAGCAGGTTTGTGATCATCGAAGTCATCATCTTTGAGGAATAATCCAAACTCTCTCAAAACATAGAAAGACATATTTTGACACCCGAGACCCTTTAATTCTCTCATCACCTTTTTATAGTCATTCATTTCAACTGTTGCTTCCATCTGCATAACAGAGATCGACATGATTATATGGAACGGTCATATCAAGCGTACTCTCTTCTCATTAAGCAGTCTCAGATGGATCATAAGAACACATCTCTAATGACTAAATAATGATCTCCCCCTCTTCTATTTCATCATTTTTGAGGGCTGAAATCTGAGCAGGTTTGTGATCATCAAAGTCATCATCTTTGAGGAATAATCCAAACTCTCTCAAAACATAGAAAGACATGTTTTGACACCCGAGACCCTTTAATTCTCTCATCACCTTTTTATAGTCATTCATTTCAACTGTTGCTTCCATCTGCATAACAGAGATCGACATGATTATATGGAACGGTCATATCAAGCGTACTCTCTTCTCATTAAGCAGTCTCAGATGGAAAAATACTGACCTTTTCCAAGGCAAGACGAGAAGCTTCTCTTTCCTTCTTAATCTTCATTCTGAGCTCAGATTTTGCATTTTGATTGACAGCACCTTTGCTTTGTGCTTCAATTCTTATTTCTTCTATTCAATAAGAACATACAGATTATAAAATAAAATAACAAAAAATGTTGAACAGTAAAAGAAACCTTCCTTGTATTAAAGTTTTTATTTGATGCTGAATTTTTTCTTACCTTCATTGTATACTTTTGTCAATTTTTCCTTTTCTTGTTGCATTTTAAATGCTCGTTCTTTTGACCCCTAAATAGCAAATTAAGAAGCTTTCGTAAGTTCATAGCTAATTAAGAATATGCTCAAGCATATTTTTTTTCTTCATTTTAAATAGTTAAATTTAGACATCGTTTGAAGCAATTTTCATGCTACTTATTAAAATAACTTTTAAATCCAAAATTTTTTATAGAAGAGAGTTATTTTAAAAAGTTATAAGAAAACTATCTCAAATATAGCCTTCGTATTATCAATGAATATATGACAGTATTGATAGATAAGTATTGCACTTACGATATTTGGAAGCTCTAGTTGTGCTTTCAAGATAGTATCAGCAAAGCGGTCCTTGAGCATAGTAGCACGGATGGATTTTGTTGGTGATACCAATTTTTTACACTCTGATTCATCAAATCCTATAATTAATAACCAAAGAACAAAACAAAAACAATTAACAGCTTGTCTTAGGTATCATTTGAAAGATTTTATAGCTCCGTCTCACCATTTGAATCATAACAATGCTTCTTCCTCAGTGCCCCAACCGAGTTCTTGGAATCCTACAGAATTAACCAAGAAAGAAAATAGTTAATTAACTAGCTAGCTCACCTATAATAATACTGTGGGATCAATTAAAAGATAAAAGCTTATAATATTAGTCGCTACTTCAGATAGGTTTTTATTTGAATTAGCTTGAGTTAGTTCACTTGATTTTCTTTTCTTGTTTGCAGGAACTTGTTGCTGCTTAGTACTGCTGGAACGAATAGTTTTATTTGGAGCTCTTTTGCAGCATTGTTCTGTTTTTGGATTATCCCCTGCAATTTTATCAATGACAGACCTTACAAGAGCAAGCTCTGTCATAAGTTTTTCCTTGAGTGAGATCTTATTGGCAGTGGACAGAGACCTCAAGTTAAAAGACAGAAGTGGTACTTTCTTCATATTAAAATTTCCTCTATTGAATGCCATCATCCTATTTTGCAGCTTTCACAACAGACAAAATCTGAAAATAATAATAAAACTTATTATAATATTATAACAAAACACGTATAAATATATGTATATTTTTTGCAAACAAGTATTTCATTCAACTCACTTTTTTGGCTGATTTGGATAAGAATATTGGGAAAAATAATGTCTTTAAACATTTCAAAGAACACAATAAAAAAAAAGGAAATTTTTTTTTTGTTTTTTAGGAGTGAAAGTTTTTTGTTTTCAACTTTTTTCTTTATTGAAGCAAAAAATTTTAGAAAATTAAAACTAGAAGACCGATAATCATTAAGAAAAATCTGAAAAAAGGTGATGGGGAGTGAAATTATTTCCAAATGGATTATCGTTCATGCAGTATTTTAAATGCACAGAATATTCTAAACAAAATAATTTCAGAAAAATAGAGTAGAATGACTGCAAAATTAAAAGACCTCAAGTTAAAAGACAGAAGTGGTACTTTCTTCATATTAAAATTTCCTCTATTGAATGCCATCGTTCTATTTTGCAGCTTTCACAACAAACAAAATCTGAAAATAATAATAAAACTTATTATAATATTATAACAAAACACGTATAAATATATTTAAATTTTTTGCTAAAAAGTATTTCATTCAACACAATTTTTTGGCTGATTTGGATAAGAATTTTGAGAAAATTAATGTCTTTCCTGATGAAACATTTCAAAGAACACAAAAAAAAAATGGTTTTTTAGGAGTGAAAGTTTTTAGTTTTCAACTTTTTCCTTTATTGAAGCAAAAAAATTTAGAAAATTAAAAATAGAAGACCGATAATCATTAAGAAAAATCTGAAAAAAGGTGACGGGGAGTGAAATTATTTCGAAATGGATTATCGTTCATAAAGTATTTTAAATGCACAGAATATTCTAAACAAAATAATTTCAGAAAAATAAAATAGAATGACTGCAAAATTAAAAAAATAAGGGAAAATTTGCTGGGCTTTTTAACGAATACTCTAGCTTGAAAAAATGTCTGAAACAATACTGGAAGAAGAGATCTGGACGAAATATAGAGAGGCTGAGAAGGAGGCCTTTGAAGAAGCAGAGAAAATTAGACGGGCTAAAGAAGAACATGAAGCTCAGAGGGCAAGGGAAGAAGGTGAGAGAAGAAAAAGGGAGCGGGGATTTGACCGTCGTCATCATCGAGAGAGGGATAGCTACCGTGAGAAATATCGAAGGCGTCGTGACGGTGATTTTGGTGATTATCATGATGAACCGTAAGAGTTGTACATCAAAGAGCGCTGTGTTATATCGCTGAGAACCAATTTTTATGGAAAATTGGGAAATACTGCGCTTAATGTTTGATCTAATCGGGTAATCATGAATTCAGAGAGGACTCTTTAAAATTCTAAAAAAAAAACCTCAAAACCTAAAATATAAGAAAAATTTTCAAAAAAAAAAAAAAAAGTTTTCTAAAGGCAAAAAATTGTAATAATAATCATGAAACAATCAGAAAAAAAGTAGAGACATAGATGGTTTTTTAAAAAGAACATCTTCTCAAAAATCATCAAATGTCCTTAAAATTTCTATAAAATATTTTAGAAAAACAAATCAGAATGATTAAAATAATCATTCAAATTAAGAAAAAAGTGATGACTTTCCAAACAAAACTTCATCTGAAGAAGAAATACTCAACACATCACCTGAAGAATTAGGCTGACAACATAAATCCTTCAAAAGCTATTACATGAAACTCAACAATGGCAACGACGGAGAAAGCGAGGAACAGGGAGCATAAGAGAGAGATTGATTTTGCTGCTAATTCTAGAGTTTCAGAGGGAAGAGACCAGCAGAGAGCTATAAAGCCAGAATGAGGAGCAAAAAAATAGCGGTCAGAAGTCACTACTAAAAATATAAGATTTTCGCAGCAGTTTTTAGTAGCGATTTTAAAACCGCTGTTATAGATTAGTATAGGCAGCAGTTTTAACTGCTCCAAAAAAAATATGAAAAATTTAATATTTTAGCATTAATTTCTGTAGTGGCGGTTTGCCATTCGCTGTCACGGCGCTTTCAATTCAAATTCACGGCTACATACCTATTCTCCTTATCTCCCTGGCAAGCCCTAGTTCGGTAGTTCCCGCTCGACTTTCTCCCGAATCCCACTCCCAGCCGGCCAAATGATCTCCTCGCTGCCGTTCTCCAAGGTAAGAATTCGATCCCACTTCCACTAAGTTTTTCTCAACGCACTGATTTTTCTATTACCTGTTTTCACAAGCGATTGGTAATTCGCGATTACTTCAACTCCGAGAAAGCCGAAGAAGATTCGATGGTGATCTCATCTTCTGCTAGGGTTTCGGAGAGGAAACATGTGGTAAGAGGCCGCACCATCATGTCTTCCGTGCCGGGAACTGTGATTTCAAGCCCTGTAGTTAGCTTCGGTCCAGAAGGCTTCTTTCTTGGAGCCCAACTATCCGATCTCAGCTCCCGCCATGTCGTCTCTCTCAGAATCCTCTGGTTTCGCTTCTTTGGCTTTTCCCTGAATTTGCTCATTTGAGCATTTCAGATTTTATCAATTTTGTTGATGGGAGCCGGTGATCTTAGGTAGGTAAATGCATCTATATTCAAGTTTTTTTTTTTTTTTTTTAATGATGGGCAGGTTTGTTCTAGAGCCAAAATTGGTCATAGTCGTGGAGCAAAAGCTACTTCTGTTTGGGTGCTTGCCCTTGCTTCTTACTATGGTATCTTCCATCCGTAGTTTTCTTTCTGCTTATTTAGTAGTTCAAAAAGACCTTTAGAAGCCGGAGCAGTATTTTGCCCGTTAATGACAAAGGAATATCTTGCCCTTGCTTCTTACTCATGTGGCATGCATGCGATAAATTTGTTTGTGGTACATTAGGGCTTGTTTTGATAGTGTATAGTTTTGGACTCTTCTTATTAAACTATTTTGCTTTAGTGTTAAACGAGGAAAATGTGGGGAAGAAGAATAAGTCTGCACTTTTCTTATTAGACTATTTTGCTCCAAATTTGTGAAACAAATTGCAAATGAAACTAGGGAATTATGTCGGTTAAAGTTAAAACGAAACAAAGTAACATTGTTGGCAAGAGAACTGTTCTTCTCTTGGAAGAATTCTGTTGGTGATTGCCAACAAGTGAGGAAATCAAGTTTCTTATACTCATTTTGCAATGTCGAACATCAAGGATGGCCTGAAAATTCTCTGGCAACCGATGTTCTGATTTTCGTATTTATGCTTGAGATTAGAGGACCTTTAGCATTCGTGCAAAAGCTCCAGCCTTTTGTGCTCATGATTTCTATTGTAATTGGTTGAGATTTAAATATTGAATTGCCGATTGGGATTAGAAAAGAGAAATTAATTTATTATTTTATTTATGTGGAGCAGAGGTGTTTCAGCTGTAGCTATTGGACATTGTCATGTTGTCACTTTTTATGTTTAGAGTTTAGAATCCAACATAAAGTTGCATTTGAAGTTTTATTGGCATGGACTATCGTTCATTTTGCATTTGATTACTTTGTTGTGCTCTCTTGAAATGTAATTTATGTTCACATAAACATATTTGTCTTTATCATATCTCTATGTTTCCTATGATGATGATGAAGCTTGCATCTGATTCAAGTATAGGAATTTTGTACTGAATTCTTCACTTAAATCTACCTTGTAATTACTTCTTTGGTGCTTAATAAGGTTCAGTACTCAGGTCTTCTTCTTCTCTAGTGATGATTTCAACTACAGGTAAATTTTCTTTGATCTCCTTTTGGTTTTGTTTTTGTTATCATATATCTATGATCAGTGCTTATATTGTTAAGATAGTGTAGTATTACTTTGTTTTGTTTTCTCCAGCTCAGCTTAATCTCTACCGAAGATGCAATGGCTATAATGTCCAACAAATGACTTACTTCTTTATAGCTTATGGACGGATCTTCTATACCTATATTCAGAATACGTCAATACATTTAACGGTTCTGATACTTTTTAAATTATTTCATAAATATATTTCTTATACTAATTTTCATAAATAATATGCTTCCCTTTAAAATTTGTCATAATAAATTTTTTAAAATCAACAAGTTAAGGTAAGTTTGTTTTATAAAAGAAAATTATTTTCAACTAATTTGGTACTAACTCAGAACAAATTAAACTTCACGAGGCTATAAAAATACTTTCAACTAATTAAAAATTCATTTCTAATTTTCACATGGTTATATCTTTTTTTTTTCTTTTTTTTTTCAAAAAACCCCAAAAGGGAATACGTGTTAATAGTCCAAAAGGATTACACAGCTGTAAAGGGGATCAACGGCTCACTAAAGCTCAGAGGAGGTACAAAACAATTCATTAAAGACCTAAGAGCCATTAAAATCCCCAGGCCAAAAGGAAAGAACAAAAACACAAATCATGAAATCAAGCTACATATGCTATGGACAAGCATCCAAAAAAGAAAGATGAAAGAGTCGATGTATAACACAATCTTTCTACAAAAAAACTTGGACTGATCCAAAATGAGCTCCACCTAAAAATAAGATCAAAAAATGCTCCTCAGTAAAAAAACGCATATGATCCTCCACTCCTTGGGAAGCAGTCTGATAGTATCCTGAATGTTCTTAGCACCTATCCGCACCTGTAAAAAATAAGCAAAGCATAAAACCAAACTATACCCAAAAGGGTTGTTACCAACATAAAAATAAACAGATTAATTGAAAAATAACAACTAAAGGCTTTAATATCTTCAAAAAAATCAAATTAAAGCAAAGCCAAGGAGTTAGACTATGAGAGCTCAGTAAATTCTCGAAATCGGCATCATCAGCCCAATCCCGAAGCCGCTCAATCCAACATAAGGGAGGCATCTCACAGCACAGGAAAAAAGCCCTCCAGTTATACCAATAATAGTCAGTATAGGAAAAATAGCCTCTAAAGGAAATATTACACGAAATCTCAGCAAACAGCAGCCCCCAAACACCACTCCCAACCAACTGAATAGAGGAGTAGCCATCACCCGAAAAACCACCAAACCCAATAAGACCATACACAGTATCCCCAAAGTACCACATCAAAGACATCCGACCCAACCAACAAGTCAACCCCCCAAGAAGAAGAGCAACTAGAGGATTGAGCCTCAGCCCACAAACCCACCACATCATAGGTCTAGTCCAACAACCCATAAACATAGCAGAAAAACAAACAATCCCCGAAGATGATAACAGCAGAAAACACAAATCCAAAAAAGTAAAAATCTCCACAATAGCATAGATGGTCAACATAAACATGCTATGAAAAACCATAGCCACCCAGCACCAATGCCCCACACGAAAATCCCAGGCAGGCATAAAGAAAAAGCCTAGAACTGGCACTCAAACGAGAAAAGGACATCAAAAAAATAGCAAAACCAAAAACTACCACAGCCAGCATAATTATATATTAACATAAGGAGTACCACATTTATCAAGATAGAGTAAACCTTTAAGGTACGAAGGAATAGTATTAGGAATAAAGTCAGTGATATTATCTAAGCTACACCCCCAGTCAGCCAACCAGCAGGCCAAAGAATTACCCAACTTGCCCACCTGAAAAAGCTGATATTGAAATTGAAGCAGCAAAATTTTAATGTCCCTAAAAATATAACAATCGTTATGAGAGTAACCAACACCAATAAGCTCACACAAAGGAGCTAAACCACCACTAATGTCAACCTCAATATACAGATTAAGAACGTTCACAGAGATGCATAAATGTAAGCCATACTGAATAGCCTTAATCAAATTAGACTGAGGATGATCAGAATGAATCTGACCCACATAAGCAACCAGCAAATCACCCAACGAATCCCTGATAAGACCCGCACAACCAGCCTTGCCATTCACAGTGTTCACAACAACATTAAGTTTACAGAAATTGGGAGGAGGTTTATACCAGTACTCAACATTAATAATAGAGCTAGGCTGCCCCAAGTGAATCCCTAAATAATTAGAAATAGAAATGCAATTATGGAAACTTTTGTTATTAATCAGATTTCCAGCCATCAAAGCCAACATCTTCTCTTTCACCCTATCAATAACATTAATATGATTCATTTTAATGCCTTTAAAAACCGAATTGTTCCTTTCAAGCCAAAGAAACCAAAGAATGAGAGGAGTAATATTACGAATATGACCTTTGACAGGAATAAACCACAAATTGAGTAAATTACGAAGAGTAGTATGATCATTAAAATAATGCAGGTTAAATATATCATCAAAGAAAATCCAAGTTCTAATAGCAACAAGACCCGACACAAAAACATGATGTAAATTCTCTTTATGGTAGCAACACTGGCATTTAGAGGCTAAACTGAAACCCTTACTAACCAACCTATCCTCCGTAGGGATAATTTTTTTTAAAAGTCTCCACATGAAGACAGAAACTGTCGAAGGGAAACTTTTATGTCAAATCATATTAAAAACCTTATCGTCATTCCCTTTTTTTCTGAAATGATTCCAAGCCTTCTTAATATAAAAAGCACCATCATTCGAAATGTTACATAAAATAGTATCTTTAACCGAGGCATTAATAGGAACCATTAAAATACAATTAGGAAGACACTCAGGAAGAGAACTAGAAAGCTTATCAGAATCCCAAGCATTATTAATAAAGAAATCATTAACTTTAGTAAGAGCATTAGAAGAGGAATTTAAAACAGAGTCAATGGAATCATTACCAAGCCACTTATCTTGCCAAAAAAAGATGTTACCTTCTCCTAGGCCCCAAGAAATAATAGGCTCAACCTCCCACTTAACTTTGCAAATTCTTTTCCACACTTTGGAATCCCCCTGCTTAGAGACAATATTAGTAGGATGCCGACCAATACAATACTTAGAATGCATATAAGTAGTCCAGAGGTTCTCCTTAGAACGAAAAGTGAACCAAAGTTTATAAGAGAAAGCCTTAGCAAGATCATGAAGATCTTTGCAACCAAGACCACCTTCATTAAACACACCACAACATTTGTCCCAAGAAGCCTAATTAATTTTAGAATTAGTAGAAGTACCTTTCCAGAAGAACTTATTAAGAATTTTGTGAATTTTGGCGCACACCTCTTTAGTGGGCGAAATAGTTTGATACATGTAGACAGGTATAGCACAAAGAACACTTTTGATACGAGTAAGTCTCCCACCAAAACTCAGAAAATTAGAGTTCCAAGATAAGAGTTTAATATGAATAGTAGAAATAAGATCATCAAAAAGAAAAGAATGTATTCTACCTCTAAAAAGGGGAATCCCCAAATACTTAATCGGTAATTTAAAGTGAGTAAAACCAGATGCATGGTTAATAGCTAAAATCCTCGTATTCGAAATATTTTTAGAGGCGATAAAACAGCATTTATGTTTACTAAAAGAAAGCCCACTAACTAATTCAAAAGCATTAAAAAAATCCAACAATTTCTGAAGTCTATTAATAGTAGCATTAGTGAAAACAATGAAATCATCCGCAAAACATAAGTGGGAGACATGAAAACCTTTGAGAGTTTTATAGTAAAGTCTCGGGTTATGTTCAAATAAATTTGAAATACCTCTAGAAAGAAAGTCAGCCGTAATAATAAAGAGGCTATGAGAAATAGGATCACCCTGCCTTAACCCATTAGAGGACTTAAAGAACCCATGTCTCGTACCATTCAGAATAATGGAAAAATGAACATTTTCAATACAAGTTTTAATAAGATAAATAAAACAAGAGTTGAACCCGAAAAGATCAAGCATGTAGTAAATGAATTCCCAATTAATATTATCGTAAGCTTTGGCGATATCAAGTTTTAGAATAATATTTCCCCCTCTAGTCTTCACATCCAAATCTTGAGTTAATTCCTGAGCAAGAAGAATATTCTCAGTAATAGCCCTAGCTCCCTTTCACAAAACCCATTTGGAAGGGAGAAATAAATTTAGGCAACAAATTAGAAATGCGATCAGAGATAATTTTGGAAACCAATTTGTTAAAAAAAGTACAAAGACTGATCGGCTGTAAATCATTCCAGGTTTGAACATTATTATTTTTAGGAATAAGAACTAAAGAGGTAGAAGAAAAAAACTTAGGGAAAGGACTGCCCTTAAAAAGATCCAACACAACAGGATAAATATCATCTTTAATAATATGCCAACACTTCTGAAAAAAGATAGTAGTGTAAACATCAGGGCCAGCCACAGAATCAGAATTCATGGAGTCAAGCTTGCATTTCACCTCCTCAAAAGAAGGATGAGCACAAAGAAACAAATTATCCTCAGAGGAAATAATCTTCGGAATAAAAGAAGCATCAGTCGGAATCAAAGGAATAAAATCTTTATTAAAAAGACCATTAAAGTATTGAACAACTAAAGAAGAAATCTTACCCTGGTCATTAGCATAAGAGCCATCCTCTCTTCGAATGTTCTTAATAATGTTCTTCATCTTGTTCCTCTTAGTTAAAGCGTGAAAATACTTAGTATTACTGTCCCCCTCCACCAGATGCCTAGCTGCAGCTTTCTGCTTCCAATATATCTCTTCTTGAACTTGAAGAGTAACAAGATCATTCTTAGACTGCTGAAGCTTAGACAAAAGGGTATCAGAAGGGTCATTCTGCCAAGCAATTTCATTTAACTGAACACAATTTTCAGCCATACGAATGTTAGTAAAGAGATTCTTAAAGACATTATGGTTCCACCAATTTAAAACTTGCTTTAACCGTTTAAGCTTAAACAATAATCTATTCATACCAACAATAGAATTATCAGGATGGAGAGGCACATTCCAGTTATGATTCACAATATCAAAGAAAGAGTTGTTCTGTAACCACATGTTTTGAAATCTAAAGGTAGAGTTAACATTAGGAGGGGAATTCTTAATATTAATCAGCAGGGGAGAATGATCAGACAAAGTTCTGCTAAGATGATGAATAGTAGTAACATGAATATCATTGATCCAAGCATCATTAAAAAGAACACGATCCAATCTTTTCCACATATGACCTCTATTCCAGGTAAACTGATTGCCCACAAAACCAATATCAATCAAATTGCAAGACATAATCATATGATTAAAATCAGTCATGGAACGAGAAGAAGGAGAAGCCCCCCACTCCTTTCAGAAGGATTAGAGATAGCATTAAAATCTCCACCCACCAACCAAGGGTGCTGACAAACATTATAGAAAACCTTAAGTTGTTCCCACAGTGTTTTTCTAATAAAAAGAGAGTACGCAGCATACACAAAGGAAGCACAACACTGAAAGTTAAAAACCTCAATATTACAATGCAAAACCTGAGAAAAATCTCCAATAATTTCAATTTTAATATTATTCTTCCACATAACCCAAATTTTATTAGACATATTAGAAATA